AGCTCCTGCACCAGAACACCCTTCCCCCAAATACCTGAATGACCCACTCACCCACTGTCACTTCATTCACGCCTCTGCTCAGTCGTCACTGCCGGAGAGGACGTCCTGACCACCCTGTCACCCTTTCCCCCTTACTCGCCTTCACCCTGCACAGAGCTCAGCCCTTGAGTTTAGGTCCATCTGGGGCCGACTTCTTCCCATGGAGGGAGACCCCGTTTTAGCAGATGCGCTGTTTGTTTCCCCACTTTCCCCAGCGCCTCAAGGAAGGCCTGGCGCAGAGCAGGTAATCAATTAATCTTCAGTCATAAATGAATCCACATATGTGCCAATGCCTGGAATGTGTATCTAATCCCCGACCACCATCCTTTCAGCTCTGATGACAGAATCCCCTCTTAAGTTCCGTCTCTCCACATGGAACTGGGATCAGTCCCTCTCACACCACGCATCCTTCTCTCTTGGCCAGCGTAAACCCCAGGTTCCCCCACTGCAGCCTAACCCTTCAGGCACATCAGCCCCTCGTCCTCTCTCCCCATCAGGTTCGCCTGGGAAAACCACAGTGCATTCCAGCCTAGCCGTCCACCTCCTCTGCACTTGTATGAGCAACTCAACAGCGTAAAGAAAGACACACGAGCTGCCTATTTCCACTTTAACATCTTGACTGCAAACCTAGTTAGCCCAGCACTGCTCTGCATTCCCTGAGCTTCCAGTCTCCCGCAAAACTGTATACCCTTCTCCCCCTTAACCCACTCTTTCCAGTGATGAGATGATCATCTCAAATAATTTACTGAGAAAATAGAAGAATCCAGGGCAAACTGTACATATGCAAAACACTGACCTCACCCCACCTTCTACCTCATGGTGGGCACTCCTGTTCTAAACAAAAGCAAGCTCTTCCCTTTGTGTTCTGGATCAAATTTCATGTTGCACACTTGGAACTTCACTTCTTTAGCCACTCCCTCTCTCTCTGAATCATGAACCTCTCCTTCTTTGCTAGACATTTCCAGAATCACAAGTACATGCTTAATTTTATGAAAAATCTCCCTGAGCCCACATCCCTCCCTACCCCTAGCTACTGTCCCATTTCCTGGTTTCCTTTTACATCAAAACTACCAGCTAGATCATCAAAAAGTCTACAAATAAATGTTGATGAAGATGTGGAGAACAGGGAACCCTCATACACTGTAGGTGGGAATGTAAACTGGTGCAGCCACAATGAAAAACAGTATGGAGATTCCTTAAAAAACTAAAATAAAACTACTTACTATATGATCAAGAAATTCCACTCCTGCATTTATAACCAGAAAAAAACAAAAACTCTAATTCTAAAAGATACATACCTCCCAGTGTTCATAGCCACATTATTTATAATAGCCAAGGTATATAAGCAACTTAAGTGTCCATCAACAGATGAATGGATAAAGACAATGTGATACACACACACACACACACACACACACGATGGAATATTATTCAGCCATAAAAAAGAATGAAATATTGCATTTGCAGCAATGTGGATAAACCTAGAGAATATTTAATGCATAAATAAATAAGTCAGACATTGAGAAAAGATAAACACAAATACTATACGATACCAGTCAGATGGGGAATCTAAAAAATAATACAAATGAGTGTATACAAAACAGAAACAGACTCACAGACATAGAAAACAAATGTGTGCTTACCACATAGTGGGGGGAGGGACACATTAGGGGCATGGGGGTAACAGATACAAACTACTATAAATAAAAAAGATAAGCAACAAGGATTTACTGTAGAGCACAGGGAATTATACCCAGTATCTTGTCATAACCCATAATGGAGTACAACCTGCAAAAATACCAAATCGCTGTGCTGTACACCTGAAACTAACACAATATTGTAAATCAACTATACCTCAGTTAGAGAAGACAACTGGCTAGAATTACCTATACCTGCTACCTCGAGCCCCTCACTCTGGACCCAGCCCACTCTCATCTGACAAGTCTAATTTGACTTCCATCCCCACAAATTAACAGAAACTGGTAGTCAGCATGGTACCAAAAACACTTGTGTGTTTATCTTACTCAATTCCTTAATCTCTCCAAGAACACTTTCCCGGCATCTTCCTGATGCTGCCCTCTGTTTTCTCTACCTTCCTGGCCACTGTCTCTCAAGGCCCGTGTACTGGCTTCTCTATTAAATGTTAACATGTGAGTGCGTCTGAGCTCATCCTATGGCATTCTCCCCACTCTTCTCATATCCTCTCCTGTGGTCTCACTCAGTCTATACTTCTCTCCCTAAAACTGGGAAAGCTTTTGTGACTGCATCAACTACTAGACTGTGGCAGAAGCAACATGGCGCTTAGAAGGCATGAGACAGCTCTGTGAAGATCCTCAAGGCTGTAGCATAGTGGCAGAAGGCCTGGGGAAGAAGATGAGAGTTCAAAGAACCACCAAATCGGCAGTGAGATTTCTTCCCCCAGTATCCCTCAACCTGGACTCAAGGACCCAAAACCCAGAAGTGGGTATCAGCACTGACTGTGAAAGAAAGCTTTAGGGGGACAATCTGACAATGTGTGTCAATAATCTTAAAAATTTCACCCCTTGACCCAAAAATTCAACTTTGGAAAATCTATCCTAGGTAAATATTCAGGGGTATATTCAAAAAGTGATACATCGCAGGATTATTGTGAAGATTAAATGAGAAAATGCATGTAAAGTGCTTAGCACAGTTTCTGGTACTGTAATAAATGGACTGTTACTAGGGGAAAAAACATGAAAGAAACTAAAATGTCCAACAATAAAGACAGATTTTTTAAAAGATAGCTGTATATATATGATGGAAGGATAAATTTAGGAGTTTGAGATTTGCAAATATTAACTACTATAAATAAAAATAGATTAAAAAACAAATTTCTTCTGTATAGCACAGGGAACTATATTCAATATCTTGTAATAACCCTTAATGAAAAACAATATGGAAACGAATACATGTATGTATATGTATGACTGGAACATTATGCTGTACACCAGAGATTGACTGTTGTAACTGACTATACTTCAATTTAAAAAGAGAATATATATATAGATGATGGCCTACTATACAGCCACCAAGTCATGCTATTATAGAAAGAACAACTTAATTAATGTAAACACATTGCTATTTGGAAAGGAATAAGAAAAGTAACACTCAACAGATATCACTGGAGAAGCCAGTGCACCAGTCATCACTGATAACTGATGGGAAATAAATAAAGCATTTAACCTGCCTTTCCTAGTATGAATTGTATT